CCTTAGATGTAAAGCCAAGAGCTTTTCTAATCGCCCACTTCGCCCCCACACACTCTTCCTCTCAGACACCTGGATTTCATCAGCATCCTAACCTATGATTTCCACGGGACCTGGCGCCAAACCACAGGACACCACAGCCCCCTCTTCCGAGGCCAACTGGATAGCAAGGCCGACAGATTCAACAACGTGGTGGGTGCCCAGAAAGGAGCCACACAGCCCAACTGCTTGATTCCTCAGTACAACCCTGCAAGACAGGGGTTTGAGGCCCATTTCACAGAGGAAGAAATGGAGTCTACATTCTCCATGGCTCTGGGAATGGAGCCTGCAGAGTAGACTGAGCAGTGGCCAGTGCAGAATGGAGAGTGGCTGGGGGTTGAGAGGTCTAGGTTTCACCAGCCAGTCCCTGAATTCTGCATCTGTCAAACAGTAACAATCACTGCCTGTGCCCAAAAGAAGCTTTCCAAGAATGAAACTTTAAAACTCATTTAAAACTGAAGTTAGCAGTTTAATGAGAAATCCAAGAGGCACTGCCTAACTGTATCTTCTGGTGCCAGGAAGGCAGCATTAACTGAAGAGCTTTTCCATTCTGCACACCTGCAGCCTGGCTCACTGCTTGGTCTGTCTCTGTCCTGTCCCCACCCAGGACTATGCTGTGGGGTACATATTGAGGCTGGGTGCCCCGGCCAGCAAGCTGGTGATGGGCATCCCGACTTTTGCAAAGAGCTACACCTTGGCCTCTTCTGACACCAATGTCGGAGCCCCAATCTCGGGACCAGGACTAGCAGGCCGGTTCACCAAGGAGGAAGGGACCCTCGCCTACTATGAGGTAATGGGATTGGGGGGAAGTGAGACCCCCAACACCACAAATAGCACCGGGGGAGGGGTCTTCCTACCCCCACTTCTAATTTTTTGGGAATAAAAGCATGTTCAGTTGACCTAGCATCCCTGAACGGGAGGAAGGGGGTCAGGCCTTTTGCTTCTACAAACATCCAGCAGGTGCAGCTCCCTGGAGCTCTCCAGATATTTCTCTGGCCATAGAGCTGGAGTTTTCCTTCCATCCCAGGCAAAAGCAATGACCAGGAGGCAAGTCTAGCCTCTTCCATTTGTAGGCTTGGGGCTGGTCCTCAGGTCAGCCAACCCACTGTGTCTCACATGCTTGTTTAAGACAGAAGAAGCACTTAGACCCTCTGAAAAGCCCCAAGCTATAGCAGCTGAACTCTGAGCTCGGGGTATTTTCATCACAAATTTTCTAGAAGCCTGCAGCCTAGAGACCAACAAGTAGGACTGTAGGCTGAGGGGCTGGAAGAGCTTTGGGAAGTGACTTCTGGTGACCTGTAAAGTTTTCCCACACTACTCCTGTCCTGTTCTCTGCTCAGGTCTGTGACTTTCTCCATGGAGCCACAATCCATAGAATCCCCAGCCAGAAGGTCCCCTATGCTACCAAGGGCAACCAGTGGGTAGGGTACGACGACCAGGAAAGTGTCAAAAGCAAGGTAAGCTTGCCCAAAGTCCTGCTTGCCTCGGGAGCCCAGCCATATTCCCAGCATCCTGTCCCCTGTCCTGAAAGCTGGGTCTCTGGTACCACTGTCTCCTCCTCTGGGGGATGGCCACACAACACATTTCCTTCATACACACCCTGGCCCCTCTGGACCCCTCCTATTAGGCACAGTACCTGAAAAGCAGGCAGCTGGCAGGTGCCATGGTGTGGACCCTGGATCAGGACGATTTCCAGGGCTCCTTCTGTGGCCAGAATCAACCCTTCCCCCTTACCAACGCCATCAAGGATGTACTCGCTGCGGCCTAGCCCATCCTGCTACACACGGTGAGGGTCAAAGACAGCATCATGCCCTCTGGATCCAACTGGCTGGAACCTGATCATTTGCTGGGTCCCCTGACTGAGCCTCAGTTTCCCGCCCCTTGAAACCTGTGCAGAGGGCTGCAGCATGGAGATTGGAGCTCAGTCTTTGTGTACAGGAGGTAGTGTGGAGCTCTGGGGACCAGACCAGCATAAGATACAGTATCAATACACTCCTATTGATAAATGGGAACGCTTACAGACTCCAAACCCAGCCCAAGAGGATTTCTGTAACTTCTTTGCCCCATTATCTTTATGAAAGGACATCGTTTTGGCAAGCTCTGCCACCAACTAGGCAAACATCCTACAAGGCACAGTGACCACACTAATTATACCCTCTGCAAAGCCCAACTTGAAACCTTCACTTGGAAACTTAATCACGTCTCCTATCTCACTTCCCTTTCCTAATTCCACAGCTGCTCAATAAAGTACGAGAGCTTAACAGTGAGGTGCACTTGCTTCAGTCTATCTTGATGGGCACAAAGAAGCCTCGGGGCTCAACTTCCCTATCTTTTCTGGACTCATTCTGAGGGTTAGGAGCCCTGAACCTGCAGAGGTGAGGCTATCATGTCCTCTGTCGGAATTCAAGGAGCCGCCATGGGAGACAGCATCTGCAGATTCACCCAAGCATGGCTGATGGTCTTTTAGATACTAGTTCATTGCCAAGTTAAGTTCCGTGTTGAAAGAACCCATTGCTGTTTCCTGAAGGCTAGGAGCCCTCTGAGAAGGAAAGGCCCTAGATCCAATTTATCTCTTCTGATCTTTGGAAATGTGGTAGGAGCTGGTGGTGGGAGAAACAACAGACATTTTCCCAGGAACCTACTGGCCTCCCAGGGCTAGGATCTCTGCAGGGCACTTGAGAGATGGATTTTCTGCCTCTCTGTGCTCCTGGTGACCCTCCTTCCTTAGGGGCAGCCCATTCTATTGTTGGGCTGAAAGCCATGGGCTGCCCCAGTGCTGTCCTTACCCCAGCCCTCAGTCCTTATTCTAGTGCCCTTCTCACACTCATCCCTTGACCCATGCAGAGATCAAAGCTCCCTTGCTCAAACTGGCCTGTGACAGGAGGAGGCGGATAGATGGACTAGGAGTGGCTCAGAAGACCAGCCAGCTTTCTAGCCTTGATGAGGTGGAGATGTTCTCACCAGGCTTCTGTGAACCTTACCCAAAGAAGAGTCTAGATCTAAACTCCAAATCTAAAGAGAATTTATTTGGGGATTCCTTGATGTTTGGATTATCTATGATTTGGGATAATCATGTGTTGGCCTGATGGCTTGATACTCTGCTTTGAGGTGTAGGCAAGGAAATGCCTATCTGCTGCCCTGAAATCTGAACCAGCTGGAGCTGGGGAGGTACAGCTGATTAGAAGGTCAAAGCTCTGCTAAATGTAAAAGGACTTGGCCAGAGCCTTGAGGGGTACCTGGCATTTCACCACTGGTCAGTGGGACCAAGTAATCTCTCACCCTAGGCACTGCCTGCCCTACCACACAGGGTCTTTGAAAATTCCAGGGCTGTGAGCATCCCTGAAGAGCCAACTCCTGTCCCCAGGGGCCACCCTTCCCCCCAGGTTGGGATAAGTTAGCCAGGGCTGACTCAGGGTCCTGCAGAATTAGTCACATTCGCTTATAGCTGCAGAGTCAGAGGCCAAGGATGGAGATTGGGTCTCCAGGGCCTGCTCCCTGCCCAGAAGAACACTGAATGACCCAGCAGAGGACATGTGCACCCAGGCAAGGCCCCACCCAATGGCTGTCCAGACCCTCTACTGCTGAAATTCTAAATAAATTGCATATTCAATTATTTTTAAGTTGAAAGATATCTCATATATGCTGAAGAGACATCATGTATGCTGAAGATCTATCATACATCACAATGCTAAAGAGTGAATAAAATGTATTTGTTTAATTCAGAGAGTTACTATGGATTGAAAACCTGTGTGACCACCACTGACAGCAGGAAATGAATGCTTGGTGACATCCTGAAGCCTCCATAGTCGCACACATCCCTGTCTCTCCACCTGGAGGCCAGCACCATCTAGACCTCTGTGCTAATCTTGGCCTCGTCCTCCTTATGGGCTGACCTCCTGTGGATGTATCTTGAACAAGATTCCTGATGTGGCCTGTGTTGGAATTTAATGTGTAGAGACGACACCGTTTCCGTGTGCCTGGCTCCTTTGCTCACTGTGAGGTCTGTGAGATCAGCTGTACTACAGCTGAATCTTCATTTTATTCCAAGTAGGTTCATGATCAGTGTCACTAGACACAGTCTCCCTCTTCCCAAAATCATGGCTCCAATTCACACCTCACCAGCAGTGAAAGTTTTTATTGCTCCCCCTCCTCCCTGACACATGGTATTTTGGGGTTTTAAATTATTGCCCATTTTAACACTTTTTTTTTTGAATGAGTGCTTCAGTGACTAGGAATTTGGCCACACCTGGCTCATTTCCCACATGGGGTCCCTACCAAGCAGGGGGTTGAAAATTTCAGGGTGCTGCTGTCCAGCAGGGCCTCTTAGGTCTGCCTATGACTTCATCTGAACTGCCACCCGAGGGAAGGGGTTCTCAGTAATACATGGGAAACTGAGGCCTGGAGCAAGAGCTAGGAGAGGCTGGGTCCTTATTGGCATCCCCACCTGAGACTGGAGGCAGGGGCTCAGTCTCTGTTGTGATCGGAATGCCCCCTAAAAAGAGCTCACAATGAAATGTAACTGCTTTGTAACAGTATTAAAAGGCAGTGATGTCTTCATGAATGGAAGTGGGTCCAATATTTAATGAGTGGGGCCCCAATAAAAAAGATTGAGTTCACTTTAATATCTTTCCACCATGTTATGACCCAGCCACAAGTGGCCTCCTGGACACCAGAGTCACAGAGCTGACCCTGTCTCATTCTCCAGATGGCTGCTTTCTCCCACTGTCCTGATCCTTGACTCCCTGTCACAGGCCCCAGGGATGTCCCAGTTCACCCATCTGGGCCCTCCCCACTCTTGGCACCAGCTCTCTGGCTCTGAGGTCCAGTCAGGGTGATGGCGAGGTAGTGTGCTCCTCAAGGGGCCCTGTAGTTCCTCCCCCAGAGCTATTCCTGGCCTGGGTGCCTCCCCACCCCGCTGTCCCCCTGCCTGACCTGACCCCACAGCTGGGAATCGCTTGCCGGGGGTGGAGCAGCCCCCAGCTATATAAGCCTGGACCTAGGTGTCCTAGTCACCCTGCAGGTCCAGACCCTATCCCTGGAGACCTCTGAGCACTCTGCTAGATCAGCAGCCGGCCCAGCAATGGCAGAAAAAGCCCTTTCCGAGACCATTGCCTCTGGCCCAAAGGAGACAGCATCTGAATCTGCCAAGGTGCCCGCCACAGGGCCTTCTGGAGAAGGGGCGGCATCAGAGTCCACTGGGGAAGGGCAGGCTTCGGAGCCCCAGGAGCCTCAGGCATCTGTCCCCACTCCCCCCACAGCCTCTGCAACTCCCGCAGCTTCTATAGCCACTAAGCCTGCACCTCCAAGTGAAGGTGACCAGAGAGGGGCAGAGTGGAGTGGGGAGACAGGCATGCAGGGAGGGGCTCCTGGGCCTCAACCACTTCATCTCACCCTGGCCTCCCCTCAGATGTCCCCAGCTCCCCGCAGCTGCTGACCATCGTGGATGTGAGCCACAACTCCGTGACTGTAAGCTGGGAACCCCCTGAGAAGCTGGGAAGACTGGGGCTCCAGGGCTATGTGCTGGAGTTGCGCCGAGAGGGAGGTGAGCTAGACTCAGCCTTGCATGTGTCCCGGGGAGGTGGGGCAGGGTGCAGTGGGTCAAGGGACAGTGCAGAGGGAGAGAGTGCAAGCAGAGATTTCCTCAGCACCCCCCACCTAGCTACTCTTGCTCTCCTGGGACCTCTGAAAGTAGAGGGCTGTCCTGTGACCTCCGAAGCCCCCCTATCTTCCAGCTCCTTGGAGCTTTTGAATTACATGAGGGTGGGGAACACTGGGCACCACTCTGATGAGAGGAGAAGGAGGTATGAAGTCTCCAAGGAGCCTGCTCAGGGAGGGCAAGACAGGAAGGAAGGAACAGGGATGCTGCAGAGTGGGAACAACAGACAGTGAGGAAAGAAAGCAAACAGGAGAGGAGTTTGCCCAAGTCCTGCTGCCATTGTCCTCTTCCATGACACTCAAGTTTGCCCTGACCTCTACCTCTGCCTTGCTTTGTGATTTTGTAAATGCATCAAACCCTCTCAGGGCTTCAGCAGCCCCCTCTCTGGCCACTGTTCTAGGGCTCTAATATCAGCTGTCTTTAATGTCACTGAACACTAAGAAGTCAGAGAGGGCAGGAGGAAATATGGGCTGGTCTCCTTTCCCAGGTCACCATGGAGAAGGGAAGCCCCATGGAGAAGGGTGCCTCCGGCCATGTCACCAAGGCCTTACTGCCCTCTCTTCCACTCAGCCTCCGAGTGGGTGCCTGTGAACCCCCGGCCTATGATGGTGACCCAACAGACAATACGGAACCTGGCTCTGGGAGAGAAGTTCCTCCTGCGAGTGGCCGCAGTGAGCTCTGCTGGGGCTGGCCCGGCGGCCGTGCTGGACCAGCCTGTCCACATCCAAGAGATCATTGGTAAAGTCCAGCCTCACCTTTTGCTTCCCCCTAGCAGAGAAACCAAGGCCAACCGTGGGCAGCACCATGCGAGCAACCACGTCCCCTCCCATAGCCACACACACAAGCCACATGCGGGTGCCATCTTGCCTGGAAAAAGTGTCAGATGGCTTCTCTCAGCAGCAAAGGGCTTTGGAGGTCAAAGAAGCCATTTCCCCCAGTGATCCTGCCCTGGGCATTGGGCAGAGACTTCCTGCTGCCCAGAAGTGAAAACACAGCTCCCCTGGTCACCTTTCTCAGGGTCCCAATGCTGAGAGGCCATCTGTCCCTCCTATCTCATCTTAATCTCTCCAGCAGCCATGGAAGCTCATTTTCTGCCCATTTCCTAAGGTCTGGGTTCCAGATTCTCCCAAGCCATCTGGAACACAGAAGGCTAGCTTCCCCCAGTCCTTCATAGCCGTGCTAGGAAGAAGAGGGCCTGCAAAAGGCCCATGAAGCCTTCTCCAAGAGGGCAGTGGCTCACTGGGGCCCTGGAGGCCAGCTGCTGTCCCTGTTGCTAATATTTCTATTTGCAGGGTGTATTAGCCTCAGTCCTAGCCTTGCTGCCCTCCCAGAGCTGATCGGGTTTCAGTCTGTTAATGGCAATGAGTCATTTGGTCTGGTCTCAGGTCTCTGGGGACAGCACAAGGCCCCAGGGTGAAGAGAGACACAAGCAAGCAGGTGGCCTGAGGGCTTCTCCATCTTCCTTCATTCTCCTCCATCAGGAGGATGGATGACTCCCAGTGGAGGCTTGGAGCAGAAATGCACAGCTCTGGACAAGGCAAACAAGAGGACATGGTATCATGGCCACAAGAGGGGTCAGGTTTGACTTCAAGGCAATACTCAGCCCTGAGGCTTGAGAGACACCACAGGCTGTTGTGGCTGGCATATTGATGCCAAGAGATCCCAAAGGGCCCAAGGACTCCCTTAGCACCACCCATCCTTCTGGTGACAGTCAGATTTAGATGTGCCCTCGGGACCATTCACACTCTGCAGAGCTGCCAGGCATCTTCACAGGTGGTTTGCAAAGCCCAGGACATTGCTGGTGAGCAAGGCAGAGCCCCACGTGGCAGCTGTAGTACGGCTTTGTTGACTGTAGTGTGGAGATGGCAGAAAGCCCTCTTGGTTGGGAGAGTCCTAGACCTTCTTCCCCCAGGGCCCGGGGGAGCTCAGACTCAAAGAGGCCTCTGAGGGCCAGCACTGAAGGAGCCAGCCAGACTCGCGCCCACCTCTCCATTAAAATTCCTCTGGCAGGAGAGAAGGGGATTTCCTGGAGAGAGAAGGGGGAGGAGGAGGCCATGAACCAGTGTGAAACCACCAAGCTTCTTTAGGCAGGGCAGAGTGGGGGCCTGTCCAGGATCCTCAGCTGCTCAGCTGTCCCTCCTCAGCCACCTGGAGCTGCCAAGCATTCCTGACCCCCTGCAGCTGCCCAGAGAGCATTCCAGGCTGTGACCCCCAAGCCAAGTGCCTGCTCAGCTAATCCTTGGAGACACAGTGTTCCTTCTCGCTGTCTCCTCCTTGGCTGCCCTTGTGCCATGACCAACTGCTCCCACCTGTTTGCTACTGAGCAGCCACCTCCAGGGACAGGGACAATGGCCACTGAAGCTTCCCTTGGAATGTCCACAGACTTCAGTGACTGTGCTAAATTAGAGTGTGGCCAGGAAGGTGGCTCTCTGCCATGCAGGGAGCCGAAACAGGAAGACTTTCCCCATGTGAGATTAAAACTAGGCAGGGACACAAGAAGGGGACGTACCTGCTCCAGCCTCATTGTGGTGGGGAAAGACTCCAACATTCCCAGAAGAAGGAGCAAGCGGAATCTTACAGAGGGGTCCCTAAAAGTCCTACACCATGGTATGGCAAGGAAGCTGGATCTGCAGCAGGCTGATGGCTCCCGTTGCCTCCTACCCTAGTTCAGGCCAACAGATACAACACCTGTCCTCCTGCAGGGGGAGGCAGAGAGCTGGCTGCTGCCCCATCTGGAGCAGAATGCCTGGGCTGCAGGGCAAATTCTAGTCTGGCAGGGTTGAGTTGCCAAAGGAGTGCTTGGGATGCTTACCAGTTCACACCATGGAAGCCCTGACCTCCTGGAACCTCTTGAGTCTCAGCTTCTCAAGGCCCCCAAGGGCCTTGGGTCCCTCCACCTCGGAACTGAGAGCACAGCCAGGACACACCCAGGAGTCTGCCTGTCTGGCCAGCAGCCCATGCCAGCTGTCCCCTAACTCTGCCCCAGGAGCCCCATCCAGTTGTCCACCTGATGCTACTGATAATCCTAGACTGTTGCTTTCCTGCAGAGGCCCCCAAGATCCGTGTCCCCCGTCACCTTCGTCAGACCTACATCCGCCGGGTGGGAGAGTCCGTCAACCTGCAAATCCCCTTCCAGGTGGGTCTGCCTGCTCAGAGGGTCGGAAGAAGGCTGATATGTGTTGGGTCGCACAGGAAGTGTCAGTGTCCCCATGGGGTCTCCTGAGGACCACAAGATCTCTCCATCATGCACACAACTGTGTTGAAATTCTCCAGCCTGCAGACAGGCAGGCAGACCCCAGGGCAGGTCAGACCCCTGGAGGACATGTCTCTGAGCAGCACCTATGGCTCCAGCTTTTGTGGACTGACAGAGTAGACTCCTGGACACAACCCCAGACACCCCTGGAGCCAGTGGGCACAGGATCTAGCACTTGCCACACTCACCTGAGTACTCTTCTCTGGCAGGGAAAGCCCAAGCCTCAAGCCTCATGGACCCACAATGGCCAGGCCCTGGACAGCCAGCGAGTGAGTGTGCGCAGCGGGGACCAGGACTCCATCCTTTTCATTCGCTCGGCCCAGCGCTCTGACTCGGGCAGCTATGAGCTCACTGTGCGGCTGGAAGGCCTGGAGGCCAAGGCCATCATTGATATCCTGGTGATTGGTACGGCCGAGGGAGAAGGGGCTACCTCCCAGGACTCGGATTTCCCCCTTCTACCTTAGAGTTGATGGCAGGTGGGGGAAGGGGGCAGGCTAAGGAAGCATCGCAGGAGCCAGATCTGGGGTGTGGGCATCTCACACTTACTCTCCTTCCCACCCTGGCCCTGCAGAGAAGCCAGGACCCCCCAAGAGCATCCGGATACTGGACGTCTGGGGATGTAATGCTGCCCTCGAGTGGACCCCACCCCAGGATACAGGCAACACAGAGCTCCTGGGCTACACAGTGCAGAAGGCAGACAAAAAGACAGGGGTGAGCTGGCTGGGGCCCAGTGGAGTGGGGGAGGAAGTGGCCAAGATATCTGGGAAGGTCCCATTATGAGTCACAGGACCCAACTCCAATGCCACTGCTCACCGAATCCCTAAGTGGGCTCAGCAAGACTCTTCCCTCCCTATCTCTCACTGTCCTCCTAAAGTCTGCAGGAGGGGCTAGCCTGTGCTCTCTGCAGCCTTTCAGTCTCTGAAGCTGTGTTTCTGAAATTTTAATGTGTGTAGGAATCACCTGGGAATTTGCTAAGATGCAAATTCTGATTTAGTAGGTCTTGGTGGAGGCTGCCTCTTTCTGCAGGAAGTGTCAAGAGCTGCTGAGGTTGCATCTCTGCGGCCACAGTTTGCATAGCAAGTGCACTTGCATAGCAAGGCAGAATTCTCTGAGAACTTCAGGGAGATCCCCTAGTGCTCATCTGAGTGAGCCAGGAGCCCCTCTCCCAATTCAAAGTCCTTCAGGCTGGAAACTGGATGGCTTAGTCTCCCAGGGTTAGGGACATGGAATGAGTCCTTGCAAAGAAGAGGCCACAGGGTAAGTGAGGAAGATGAGAATGAGACGAGTGGTGAGCGTGACAAGCCGGGGTCCCCACAGCAATGGTTCACAGTGCTGGAGCGCTACCATCCCACCACCTGCACCATCTCTGACCTCATCATTGGCAACTCGTACTCCTTCCGGGTCTTCTCAGAAAACCTGTGCGGCCTCAGTGACTCGGCCACCACCACCAAGGAGCTTGCGCACATCCAGAAGGCAGGTGGGTCTGGACTGGGTCTGGGTGGGCATCCTGACTCTACCATTTCCGTCTCTTCCTTGGTGTTGCCCTGTCCCTCTCTCTGGGCTTGTCCTGAGCATCTGCTCCCTAGCACTGTGGAGGCGTCCCTCCCGCTCCACAGTTACGTGCACGACACACACACACATGCACACACACACAGGCATATGGCTGGTTATGCGAAACACATCAGAGCAAACCCATGTAAACAAGCAGCCCCCTTGGGAGGCTGTGCACTTTCCCAGAGTCATGTGTGGCTGCAGGGTCACAGCAATCTCTGGATCTCAAGCAGAGTGTCCCACAGAACCCACCCTGAAAGGCAATGCGTGTATGCTAGGCAGAGCCCTGTTAATGAAAGCACAAACCTTGCTGCCCCAAAAGAGCACCACACAGCTGAACACGGAAGATGCAACATTTACTGTCTCCAACAGGCACCCAAGCCTCTTGCGTCAAATATAGAATTCCAGGCCTTCTTCCTGCCACCCTGTCCAAGAACCTCCCCACCAGATCGTGCAGGCTCTGGAAGGTGTACTCTTGTTAACACCAGACTGAGCTGCACAGAATGGGGAAGAGATTTTCATTTCAAAAAAAGAAAGCCAGATAGATGTGTCTCCAAGACACAGAAATGAGACGTGGCATCTCCAGGTTGCTGGTCACCACCTTCTGCTGGGATCTCCTGCCCAGATATGCTCATGGCTCTGGCTTCCTGCCCACTCCTCCCTGCTCCCTCTCAGCGCCTCAGCCCTGTTTTAGTTTTCCTTTCCTCTGTGTCGTTCGCTATGTTCCTCAAAAACTTGCTTTCTAAAGATCCTGGGTGACACCAGTCATACAAGGGCTCTTTTACTTCTGTAACCTCCAATTCTCCCCTGAACCCAGATATTGCTGCCAAACCTAAAGGGTTTATTGAGCGAGACTTCTCAGAAGCGCCCTCCTTTACCCAGCCCCTGGCTGACCACACCTCCACCCCTGGCTACAGCACCCAGCTATTCTGTAGCGTCAGAGCATCACCCAAGGTAAGGGCGCTGGCTTGGGGAGTCAGCTGGGGGAGTCAGGGTTAGCGAATCCTCCAAGCATGTGTACTGGGGGCTGTAGGTGGACCTTTGGAACCTGGTCCCAGGCCACACCTTTCCCTGACCTTGCTTCCTCTGTCTTTGCCTCCAGCCCAAGATCATCTGGATGAAAAACAACATGGACATCAAAGGTGACCCCAAGTACCGTGCCCTTTCTGAGCAAGGAGTCTGCACTCTGGAGATCCGGAAACCCAGTCCCTTTGATTCTGGGGTCTACACCTGCAAGGCCATCAATGTGCTGGGAGAGGCATCTGTGGATTGCCGGCTGGAGGTCAAAGGTGAGGGTCACTTCCCAGGGTCCCTGACGCAGATGGGCAACCAGAGGCCCCCTCTTTGTGGACTGGACTAGATGCAGAGTGGATTTGAAAACTGAGGCAGGAGACAAAGGGCAGTGAAGATGGAGGTCAGGCTGTCTAGACGGCTGTCCAAGCAGGGCCACGGCCCACTATGCTGGGGAGGTAACCTTGAACGTCCCATTGCATGCAGCTTTCCCCAAGCTCTAACTGCAGGTTCTCTTCCAGCCTCCGCCACACACTGAGGAGTGCTGCGAAGAGGCTGGGACGAGGAGACAGGTAGGTGGTTCTGCTATGTCTGGGGGCAGCAGGAAAGCAGAGAGGAGGCTGGGAGCAGGGCATGATGGGGAGAAAAGACAGTGATCAGCTCTGGGTATAAGTCTGTTAGTCACAGCCGCTAACGCACTTGTCGAGGCCCCTGCAGTAGCCTTGTATTGCAGGGCCATGCTGCTGAGGCTTGGTGGGGCTGATGCAGTGGGTGTCACAGGGCAGGGGTCTGGTCCTGGTTCTGAGTGACCTTAGTAAGGATAATCTCTTTGGCTCTGTTTCCTCATCTGAGAAGTGGAGACAACAACTCCTGTTCCCTCCCCTAGCAGTTCTAGGGCTCTGGGTAAGTCCGAAAGAATCTAGACATCAGGCCTGAAGGAGGGAGGGGAAGAGATGTTAGTGTCCCACATCTAATTGCTCTTCCAACATGTGGTGCTGCTCAGCCCACACCAGGCTCTGTTTTGGCAAGACCTGTTCCCTGCCAGGCCCTGTAGGCCCAAGGAGTCGGTCCAAAAATATGGCTCCGTAGATGCCCAAGACCTGTATTTCCATAGCAACAACAGGTGGAACCATCCCTGGTGCCTGTTGGCCTCCTAACCCCAGAAGACCGAATCTGGGACCCAGGAGTGAGCCCAGCATGCCCCGAGACAGGCCTCCTGACATAAGGGTGCCCAGGAGACACAATGGTCAGAACCCTGCAGAGTTGTGCACTGGGTGAGAAGCACCCAAATAAAGCTGTGTGATGTGACAGTGGCAGCACAGGACCTCTGTGGCAGTGAGCTCAGTGTAAAGGGGGAGGAGCTGTGTCACTATGTGGGGGGCATTTGAACGTGCTGCTCTGAGGAAAGTGCCATCAGGGAGGGTCTTGAGGTCCACAGGGCATTTTCCAGGCATGAGTGGTCCAGTGCTTGCTTTCTTACTCAGGGTTTGCTACCCCGAGTATGTAACTACAGCCATGGAAATACCTCCCTGGCATCCTCCTGACTCCAGTCGCCCCCATATCTCCCTCTCCTTGCTTCTTCCTGCCCCTATTCTGTCTTCTCTGTTTCGGTTCCTCTGACACTGGTGGCAGTGGGTGCTAGTGACGCCATCTCCATGAGGGTTTATAGTCTTTTATTGGTCACAAGGGCCCCCATTGGGAGCCAGGAACACCCCACCTCCAACAAAGGCAGATGCCTGGAGTCAGTCTTCACATTCAGAACCCACGAACTGACAACCATCTCTCTCCCCGCCCTCTCTATAGTGGGGTTCCAGGCTCTTGGCATGGGTGAGTTCATCTTTCCCCGAGCCCTCAGGTCTGGACTCCATCTGTATCAGTTTCTGAAGTCCCCCAAAAGCGAGCCAAACGCTCGCCCGGGCTTTTTAGGGATTAAATGCCCGTGAGAGACCTGCCCACATGCTCAGGAGGGCGGCCCCTCAGCCTGCTCCAGCCCAGGAGTCAGCCTGTAGGATGTGTCCTTCATCCCGTCCCCGGAAGAAGGCGGAATGCTCCCAAGAACTGAAGCTTTCTTCTCCATAGGTCCTAGAAGCAGCAGTGATGTTGTCCCTTGGACAGTCCGGGCCTACCACCGAGGGCTGGTGCGACATGGTAGCCCAGAAGATAGGAAGTTACCCTCCAGGCCCCTTGGAAGCGCCCTGCAAAGAGGGCTCGGTGCTGCCCCCTGGTGGATGCTTTAAGCCCGTGGCTACAGAACTACACTCCAGGGTCTGGAGGCCCCGCTGGGAATCCAAGGGCTGGTGGGGAATAAAGCAAATGTGAGAAATGATTTCTGGACCATTCTTTCCGCTTCTCTCAAGTATAATCCTGGGCTCCTAAGAATAACCCTTGGCGAGTAGGCACCCTAACCCTGTCATCACCAAAACGCAGAATCTTTGAAGTTGGTAACTGATGCTCCTTGATTCCTGCTCTTTGGCTGCCCCTGTCCACCTTCTAGAGAATAGTAGAGAAAGAAAAACCAGAACATCATCATTTCTCCCACCCCTCCATCTTGGGAAGGACCCCCCTTCTGTCCTGAAGCTGGGTCCCAGACAGGACTACATCTAAGACCAGCAGATTCCCTTGCGTGACTCTGGGAGCCCTAACATCCTGTCCTAGCCCCAAAGCCTCCTCCATAGTCCTACCTAGGACCTGCCCAGCTCTGAAGCGCTGGACCATGCATGGGATGGTAGCGCAGGCAAGGGGGCTCAAGACTGTTTTCTCTCGCCTCACACCATCCAGTTCCACCCCCACGGGCTGCCATCCCAAGCCTGCTCCTAGTCCCCAAGATGCAGGGCCATTAACTCCCTGTGGACAGGCCCCTGCTCCGCAGGCATCTCCTCAGAGCCTCCTGTGTCACTGCCACAGCCCAGTTGTGGAAGGCCCAGCAAGGCCAGAGGGACAGTGGGGAGGCAAGGTCTGGGCCGCAGCCTGCTAGATGTGGGCTGGAAGGTGCAGACACAGTCTAGTCATCCACCTTCTCTTCAGGGAGGTCCTCATCAATGGGGGGCTCCGGCTGGCAGCGGAAGTGGTCATTCCAAATCTTTAGAAAGGTCACCCGGAACTTCTGGATGCGGAAAGCATAGACGATGGGGTTCATGGCTGAATTGCCATGCGTGAGGAAGATGGCAATGTAAGTGAGGATGGTGGGCTTGTGGCAGGTGGGACAGAAGAGGGTGATACAGTTCAGGATGTGCAGGGGCAGCCAGCTAAGGGCAAAAAGGAAGAGGATGAGGGCCAGCGACTTAGCAATCTTCAACTCCTTCCCGTAGTACTTCTGCGGGTCACCAGAGGAGGCCGACACTTTTTTGCTGAGCTGCTTTCGGATCAAGTAGAAGACCTCCAGGTAGATGAGGACCATGAGGAGCAGCGGCGGCAGCACCCAGACAAAGAAGTTGAAGTAGACCATGTACTCCATGCTGATGACCTTCTCAAACTCGCACTTGATCACGGGTTCCCCGACGCTTCCATTGGCCGCCCATGCCATCTCTATCTTACTCAGATTGTTCCAACCAAACATAGGCGTCAGGCCCACCACAAGGGAGAGAATCCAGCAGCCAGCAATGGCCACTGCTGCCCTCCGTGGGGTCACCACCGTCTTGTACCTGAAGGACAGGAGAGCAAGGTGTGAGAAGCTGCCAGGCAGCGTAGCCATGAAGACGCCCCCCTCCCCCACTGAGACTCCTCTGGTCCCTGGTGAGTTCCTAGAGGACCCAGAGAGTAGGAGGGGTGTGGTCACAAGATCTTCCCTAGGTCACATGGAAGGTGACAGTGCTGTCCTGTGCTTCCTAATATATGGCTCACCAAAAACCAGGTGATTAACAAGCCACTGTTACACTAGGCCCTGCTGACTCCGCTGCCATCAAAACCTTCACTCACCTGTCCTGTTGTCCCCTGCTGGTACCCCAGCTCCTACCTCCATCCTTACCTCCCATTCTTTCCCAATCATTACACACGCTTATGCCTAAGGAGTGGGTTTCAAAAGGCAGCAATGCTATGCTAACTGATAATGATTCTCAGGAAATAAAGCTGGTGTTCGCTGAGTATCAGTCACATGCTAAGAACTTTCACTCACGCATTCATTCATAAAAGCTTGCATATGTGGGTGCATTATTCAGCAAATGTTTATCAGGTGTTTTTTGTCATTGCTTTCTGGGATGTGGGTAAGAAAAACAGATTCTTGTCACTATGTAGCTCATATTATGGGGGAAGAGACCAATAATACAAAAGTAAGGAAATAAACAAGACAATAGTCGGTGATGTGTCCTTCAGAGGAAACAAGCAGGGTGACGTCAAGGGACCTTGTTCATGTCAGGACGCACAAAGAGAAGGAAAACATTTAGATGACACTCAGAAAATGAGGCAGCCTGTGGGCTAGAGACTGAAGGTTTTGGTATTTTGGGGGCTCCCCACCTCCCTTTAAACTAACCCAGCCAACAGCCAGCCTTGTGTCTTCCACCCACATGCTGGCCTTGGAGAAAGTGCCAGCCTGGCTCTGCAGTTTGCCCAGTTGTTATTTTCCAGGGCTGCTCCTGAAAGGGTTGGGGTGCTCCTCGAACATGTAAACAGCTTGCGAGATGGGGTCTAGGGCTATGAAAGGAGGACTCTGAATCCATTCTCTTCTGCCCTGTGCCTGCAGAATCTGAAGCTTCCTCCTTCTCAGTGGTGGAGCTTAAGGTCCCTCACACACGACTGTCAATTTTTCTAGACCTCTTAGAGTTCATGAAAGGCAATCTGCTCTGTGCAGGCTATGAGAACCGAAAGAGGGGACAGCTTGGAAGTTAGGAGTAGCTAGACACCTCCTTCCTGCACCACCTAGAAAACAGGCAAGAGATGGACCTTTGAGACCTCGTATCAGAGCTCTTTGCCATTTCAAAGAAGAAAGTTAGGACCCTGTGAGATGTTATTCCCCGCTTCTACCCTGTAGGCACAGGAGGCTTGCAGCTGACGCATTCACTTGAGCTCTGTTCCCCTGCTGTTATGAAAGTTCATCCCTCCCCTTTCATTCCCAGCAGAATAGCTGGCCAGGCTGGAGACACAGGCTGGAAGGTGTAAGACTGAACTGTGAGCCTCAGCTCTGCAGCAAGTATGGGAGCTTGATTCCTCCTCGGTAAAATAAGACCTACTTCAGAGGGCAAGGATAATATGTGCAAATGTTCTGCAAATAACCTGCCAAGATCCCTTGGCCTGAGCTCTCCCATTCTGAGCTCCTAGACAAACACACACCTGGAACAATTCCAGTGTCCTTAGGAGCTCAGCAAACAAAGCCCGAATGCTGCTAAAATGTCTTGCTCAGGTTTGGCTCTTGACAGTCTTAGAATGTCCTCCTACCCTCATTTCCCTCCAGATGCAGTGTAAGAAAGTCTAGGCACAATCTTTGGGGAAAGACCAAAGGCACATAGGTTGTTCTGTGGGACACTGTCTCAGCCACCACTCAGTGGAGGCTGGGCCAGGTCCCTAAGGTAGGCCTCCACGGGACCAAGGGAGGCTGGGCTGCTGCTGCAATGGGAAAGGAAGAGCTAGACATCCTGTCCCTGTCCCATCTATCACTTCTATCACACCTGTCATTTACAAAGCCCTTTCACAGTCAGGTTGCAGGTGAGCCCTGTGGGGAAGAGTGGAATCCCATAGCACAGATTAGGATTCTGCTGGCCCAGGACTCCTGACTCCAGCCCAGCCTCCCTTCTGGGTTCCAGGCTGACTGTGAGGGGTTCAAATGCTGATGATGGGCAGACTCAGGATACCTTATGCCTGGCTGCTTTAAAGTGGGGCCTGCTGGACCCTGCTCAAAGAGGGCGTCAGCCAGGGACAAGTGTGCATCAGGTGACCTCTGGCGCTGCCGTTCAGCCTGAGGATTGGGGTCTAACCCAGGACCCTCATCTGGGCAGTGATGACCTGTTGAGAGAGGCGAGACAGGCACTGCCAGTGTCTCAGATGGGAGAAAGGGCACTGGCCACTGCTTACTGGAGGTACTCCCTGCCTCCTCCATCCATCACCCTTCCTGACTGCCCAGAGCTGCAGGGTTAAAGCTTTCCTGGGGCTTCTCCAGGACTGGGTTCTGGCCGACCCTGTGCACAGGGTATCGGTCTCATCTGTTTTTCTTGCTATTTTCTCCTTGGTGGGAAAGGGCTGGGCCCAGGACCTTGGCTGTGGTGGGGCCAGCTCTCATGGGGCCAGGGGACATTCACTTCTCCTCCACATGGGAAAGTGGAGAAGAGGTGCTTAGTGGGGAAGGGATGTGGAAGGTGCCTTCAGTGCTAGATGTCCCTCCTAAGTCCTTGCCACCTAGGGAGCTGTGTGGGAAGTGGTCAGAGCATTGGCCACCTGAAGGAGTATGCAGTCCCAGACAGTGGAGATAAGGACACACAGGTGACAGGACAGACAGCGCCTTAGGGATACAGCTGCAGAAGGCAGGGTGGACCCACCACCTCCTAAGTCTGCCCAGCACAGAGCGTCTCACTTTTGGGTTAAGAGCTGCCTCATGGGGTAGTATTTCTAAAAGCCAAGGTAACGTTAACTCCAAAGGGTCAGTTAGTGGGTACCATCTTACTGATGATGACAATGTGAAAAGACTGGGTAGCTGCCTGAGGCAATGGGGTGGCAGAGACCCTGAGAGGGAGAGGGCTCACTGGGGAAAGACACAAAGGGGCTACTGTTGAGTCTCTCAGTGATAAGGAAGGAGGCCCCCAAATCTGCATCCACAGAGGACAGGGCAGAGGAGGCCATGGCTTCACCCTGGATGCTCTGCATGGCTGGTGCACAAGAGAAACCAGAATCTGAGGCTGAGGGGGTAACTCAGAAATAATAGTTAACCGATCAGCAATAGTAACAAAGGTGATGCTGATAAGAGCTAACATTTATTGCTACATTCTGTGCTGGGCTCGGACTTTGTACCCTCTGAGCCGGGCACTATCATTACCCCATTTCCTAATTGTAGTAACTGACGATCAGAGATTAGGAAGCATGTCCAAGGCGGCTCAGCCAGGAAGCAGTCGAGATGGAATTTCTAAGACTGAGCTCCCCACTTCCAAGCACCTGCTGGACCCCGCTCTGCCACTCTAGGAGGTGGAGGACACAAGAGGTCTGCAGTGTAGAGGTCTCAACACGGCAAGGGGAACCCTCTGTGGATTACACAGGGCCCAGAGCCTCCCTCCTCCCGAGTCTGCCCTCTGGGTGCCGTTTGAGTAACCTGTTCAGGTGCATGTGCTGCCCGGACATTTGGTCAGCTGTCTTGTCCCTATTGATGTGGACCAGGCAGCTGTGGCTCTCTCCTTTTCATTCATTAAGCAGACACTCATCCTGTACCCTGCAGGCTGAGGGACCAGATGCTGGGGTTTGGGAATACAGAGGAGAGCAGGCAGGCACTGGTGAGGAGGCAGACACACGGACAACAGAAAGCAAACAAGCCCAGCAAAGCTTCTGCAGAGTGAAAAGCTCTGTACAGAAAACAGGCCAGGCACCGTGAGAGCCAGCAAGGGACACTGTGTGCTGCTGGCTTGCGGTGGGAGGCGAGCAGGGGAGCTGAGAGCAGCTCTGAGGAGCAAACAGGAGCTGAGAGCTGAGGGGTCGCCATGGAGCCCGCCAGGCAGAGACGGCGAGGGGAGGACAGAGCCTTCCGGGGGAAGGTACAGGGGCCGAGGACTCGAGAGCACAGGAATAAGAGCCAGAGAGGGGCCAGCCCATCATGGGTGGGCAGGGAGAGTTCCCTCGGGCGGCAGGGGCCACAGTAAATGTTCTGGGGCTTATTCTGAGCGCAGAGGGAAGTTATTTTCAGCAAAGGAGTAATAAATAGAATGCAATCTCTGTTTTTAAAGGATACCTGAAGGTATGGAGTGGCGAGTATGTAACGGCATCGAATGAGGGCAGAGAGAAAGCCACCATGGGGCATGTTAGCCACAGGGGCGGGAGAGGAGGTGATGCTCCAGCAGGCAGGCATGGAGCTGAGAGGAAGGTACAGTTTTGGGATATATTTGGAACAGGGTGGCTGCTGAGTGTGGCTGTCTGGGTGACGGAATGATAGCTCTGGGTTTTTATCTGGATGACAGAGCAAAGGGTAGCACTATCTCTTGAATCTCCCTCACTCCCTTTCCCTTGTGCTTAACCCCCACTAGCCACTGGGAACTAAACATCATCAGCAGAAACTCGCCTTTGGGTGCACATCCTGGCCACCCTCCACCTCAGGGCCTTTGCACTTCCAGTTCATTTCCCAAAGTGCTCATTCACTCCTTATTCAGGTCTCAGGGCCTGAATGTCACCTCCTTAGAAAAGATTCCAGACAAACAGTCTCTGTTGCCTGCAGTCTCTTGCCATTTTTAATTTTCCCAATAGAGGTGATCTCACTTGCTGGCTCTATATCTGAGTGTTGATGTATCTGTTTCCCTCCAGGAGAATGTACAAAACTCCATCATGACAGCCTTAATTTTGCATGCACACCACTGCTTCCAAGTACCTAGGTGACTGCTCAATAACCATTTGTTGAATGAATGAATAACTACATACAAAATAGATTAATAAATCTATACATTATTCAGAAATGATTGACTGAGGAACTACCACATGATCCAGCTCAGGAAGTCAGAGATATACATGAAGTGGCAGGTGCTCC